TTTTAGATACGGAACAGCTCTGTCACGGCCGTCCTGCTGATGTAACGTATGATGAAAACTCGGAAATTTAAACCGTTCTATTTTCAAAAGGAAGCATGAGATCGAGCTAAGAAATTGTGAAAAGATATATATTTAGGTAATCTTTTCTTGAATGAAGGTAAAAATTCTGTAGGCCTCGCGGTTTTGAATTTTAGAATTTGATGACGTCACGTGAAAACCAAGAATTGGAGTGTCCAACCATAGGAAATCTATCCCGGGGTACTCCCATATAAAAGTTACAGTGATGATCGTCGTACCGCTTAGGGAGTTATCCTGGTACCTTTTAGAGTATTATAATTCGGGAAAAAAATAGGAAAGGAACTGGTTTTATCCAATAATTGGTACCTCTTAGGGATGCAAATGAATTGGAGCCACACCCACAAAACGAGCTTTTGATATCTTTAGGTCTCCAACTTCCAACCGTTTCCGTTTCTCGATATCAAGCTGGGGATAAACAACAACAGGTTACAGATGGGGACTGACACGCGTAACTATTTCCACCACACATCACTCCATAGATCACTGTAAACTGGCAATTCCCTACAGCCAGTTCCAGCCGAATCTGTTCCGACGACGACGATTTCACGGCCAGAGCCTATCGTGGGACCCCACCTCAACCGTTCCACGCGACGAGGCACTAACACCACCACCACGTCTGAGCGGTGCCACAGATAATAGAGTCCGCTAGGACTGACGTACCATCCCTTCAACACTGGCACAAGGCGTATCATGCTCGACAACTTTAACATCTTGTCCTCCGAGAGGAGGCCGTGACACGCAGGATTTTCGTCAGTTCTCTCTTGTGTCATATCGTCGAGACAGAAACCTCAGGGATGTTCTCTTACACTATGCAGACATCGCACACACTGATGCCGGATCGTTTACCTGCCGTCGTCCATGCTGCCTCCGTGTAAGAACATCACATCTACAAGGCCCAAGAACGCATATACCATCCGTGACCGCTTTACCAGTCAGTCTGTGAATGTGGTGTACTGCATCACGTGCCACTGCTGTACCTGTTCCTACATCGGTGAGACTGGGAGGCGACTACTGGAACGCTTCAGTGAGCACCTGCGTAGTATTCGCAACCAGTCTCCTGGCTTTCCCGTAGCTGAGCATTTCAACTCAGCTTCCCACTCACTGGATGGCATCATGGTCTGTGGTCTCAACCAGTGCACCGGCAGTAACACCCGCCGCAAGCAGCAGGAAATGACGCTGATATTTGAGCTTGGTACCCTCAGGCCAAGCGAACTGAACATTAGTTTCAGTTTTCGTTGACTCTCTGTGTTTTCCTATGCGCGCATTCCATATGCACGCGCTTACAAGAGAGTTTTTTTTTTTTACTGTGTTTCTTGCGCGCGCATTCTACGAAGACACCACCAAGAAACCGCCGTTTTTTCCTTTTTAGCATCTATTTCGTTGGACACCCCATTCCCCCACAAAAAGGGGGTAAAACGAACATACACTAACGCTTATCCGTTAAACGAGTAGGAACAGACGGACATTCAACGACTTATTTAAGGTGATTCTTTAGTATTGCACGGCGCATCCTTAATGCGCATAATGTCGCGCGTAATTTATAGCGCGCGCACATTAAAAAATGGCGGCTTTTTCTTTGTGGCTATGCTCGCCAGGGAGGTAAAAAATCGTTTTTCTCGTAAACGAGCTCGATGACCAATATTTTTTATTGCATAATTTTGATGTTCAAATCATCCTTTTTAAGTGAAACAAAATAAAAAATAACCATTTTCGGAAGGAAAAAAAGATCTCGCTAAAAGCGTGCACAAAACCGTTACTCGTGGGTGCAAGTTATGACCTTGCGTGATATCTGTAATATAATCTCTCATAAGAAAGTTGCTAATTAGCATATTATTTACTATTTCTCTTGGCGATCCGTGGCTTTGCACTCGTATATTTTGCCATCGCGCGCCACCAAAGTCGGCAGTTCCCATCGACTTTGCGTGACATCTGTAATATGATCTCTCATAAGAAAGTTGCTAATTAGCATATTATTTCGCTACACCGTTCTTGGCGGACTTTGAGGCAGCAGCAACCAATTTGATTTTGAAAATGGCAACTTGTTTGCGTAAAAGACCCCGATCTGCAAACTATAGTGGAAGATCATCATAGCAATCCGGTTAGATGGTAAGTACCAGCTAGTCTGACGTTGGAATGTTAACATTTCAGGCACCTGCCTAAATAACTTGAAGCTACTTGTCTTGACTGGACCAAATATTATAAAAAAGTCCGTTGCAAAGCGAGCAGGATATTCTATCAGTGACGTTTAATAAGTGCTTAGTATGTACTTCTATCTTTATACTCAGAATAATGTATTTTATTACTGTGAAGCTTGTCGGCTGAAATCGATTACATGTAGTCGCGTGCGAAATTTCGACAAAGAAGGGAATCAGGCATATATTTAGCACTGTCAACCGTTAGATTGATAATCGTGAGATAAAAATCCAAGGTAAAGGGCACTTAGGATAAATACATGAGGTATTCGGAATATTTAAGGTACTTGTGGACTGCTAAAATACCATTCTTATTCGATTATTTGCGTTTGGGCACCATCCATCCTAGCCGTGACCTTTGTACTTTTGTTGTAAACATTGTTGTACATAAGCTCTAAAAAACGTTCGCTCGCGTCCAACACAGGACGATACCCGCAGGTTTAACTTCAGAATCTGTGAGAATAAGGTTACATCTTTACTTTAAAGGGCATTTTAGCCCTAGTTTAGGTGCCACTTTTGAGATTTCGACTCTTGCTTTTAGTTAAATTTTGGTTCCTTTTGACCAGCGACGCGGTAGGGTGTCTTTGATTTTGCCTGGTTTATCTAATTTTTATCCAATCGTTACGAAATTGTGTTGAAAAGCACGTCAAATGTACCTACATACTGTGGTATGGTTGATATTTAACTATACTTACCTGTGTTGAAGCAGCGCGGTTCAGAAAAAACGCAAATTTCGACTTCTGGAGTGGCCTAAAATCCCACCTCGGACGGCCGAAGACATTTTGGCGTGTAGCGAAAAATAAAAGCAAGAAATTTAACAAAATACCCTGGTTTTAACATTTACCTACCAAGTCCTTTTCGTCCACAAAATATAAGGGCTAACTTTTTTCCGACCCGAAGTTGACCGGACCGCTCTTAGCGGGACTGCCTCTTAATTAGCCGTTGGAACTAGTGCGGTAAGAAATCGACCCCAGGGGCAATTTTCGTTCGCTCCTACTTTTCTTTGCCGATTTTTTTCACTCGCCCCCACTAACTGCCCCTGGGTCTCCGAGGATGAATGAACACTCGCCTTTTTGTAGTATAATGCAAGCTCTTTAATTCCACTGCGTAGTTCTCCATTCACTTGACAACGATAAGAGAGCAATATAATGTGAAAAATTCAGTAAAAGCTTCTTCGAATCGACCTTCAAATTCAGTAAAAGCTTCTTCGCATCGACCTTCACACGTTGCTGAAATTAAAACGTTTTCGCTTTGGCAGCGCCTACCTGGCGGCAAATTCATTTGATATCAATGTTGACTGCGGGCAAGATAGGAAAATGTTGCCCGCCAGTCGGAACCAATATATCAGATTTCAGAATTCGCAGAGTTCCGTCCGCTCGTGCTCTCAGAAAAAATAATTATATTTACGATAACGATAACGTCCGATGCTATTCAAAAACAAAATTCACTTACAGACCAGACCTTACAGGTAAACTACTTTTCTTCCGAGTTCCAAACCTTACGGTAACGCGTATATTATCGCTCACAAACATTTCACCATTTACAAAGTTACGAAACCTCACATAGCTTGAAATACTGTATATGGCAGAAGCTTAGAGTCCTTAGATGCATGTTTCCAGTAGTTTACCTTAAATTTCTTCTTGTTCCATAGTTTTTGGAAGCTAAATTTTGAGAGGCTTTGATTTCAAAAATTTGAACACAACAAGTTCGTCGTTAGCACGAACAAGCTAACATAAAGTTAAATTATAATGACGTTCATTGCGTTTCTAGCGATATATTTTTGGCAAATTTAAATTCCTCCAGTAATTGAACAAAAAGTACCCAATTGTTGTCTAAACCAACTTTATTTTTCATCTTTTTTGACAAATATTTTTGTGAAAATTTTTTCAGAAGCACTGGCTGTTCTTGCCTTCAAAATCGAATGAATTTTGTCTGATTAGAAGAGGCTGGCATGCCACATGTACATGATAGGACTTGAAGCCCAAGTACATCCTTGTTGCACTGCGTTTGGTATACCTGCGCAACCCAATTTCAAGGGACCATTCTGTATAATTTATATAAAATATTTACAAAATCAACCTGTGTACTATTTACAGCGGTCTTACCCAAGCGAGTATAAGAGGAATCGCCTACATGAATTCATTATAATTTCGATAGAAGCCTCTCAACTTCCAATATGACGGATCCTGATCCTCAAGTTCAAGTGTCTCAAGTTCCGCGTCCTTCGCAAGAAAAAAGGCATCGCTGGGCAAGCAGTTCCCAAGATACTAACGCTAACAAGCAAGAGGTTGCGCTTCATTATTCAATTCCGACTTATTTCCTTCTCGTGGCGATTATTCCTCGAGTTGCAAGCGTGGCTGATCAAGAACATGTTCCTAAAGCTCTGATAAATCCCGTAGCCGACGGCAATGGAGGTCAAATGCCCCGTATATGCCCAGCCTCCCCCCTTCCCTTTCCATCGGGCTTAACATTGATAAGTGAATAAATACCAGAGTCGAACCAGAACTTTAAAATAATACTAATCAATAATTATTTCAAAGTTATTGTGAAACTCCTTATAAATGGTTAGCATAATAACGGACATAGCGGTGCCGGGCAACCGAGTGTGCGCAGTAGCACTCAGCTAGTTGCTAAGAGGATTGTCCCACGGGAACTTATTGACAATAAAAAAGCTTGAGAGAGATATTATTCTGTCGGTGACACAAGCTACTCGGAAAAAAAAATTCCGAGTTCCCCCAACAGGAGTCGAACCTATGACCTTCCGCCACACCGGTCGGACGCTCTACCACTGAGCTACCGGAGACTCGTGGGAGCTAAGGCCATATAACTAGGTTCAAGTGTGACAAACATCCCGCATACTGCTAGGACTAGATTTGTCGATGAAAGAGAATTTGTGGAAAGAAATGGTGGTATATTTTAAGCTTGGTAGAAATATGAGAGAGTTATTATTCTGTCAGTGACACAAGCTACTCGGAAAAAAAGAAAAAAAAAGCCCAGTTATATGGCCTTAGCTCCCACGAGTCTCCTGTAGCTCAGTGGTAGAGCGTCCGACCGGTGTGCGGAAGGTCATAGGTTCGACTCCTGTTGGGGGAACTCGGAATTTTTTTTCCGAGTAGCTTGTGTCACTGACAGAATAATATCTCTCTCATATTTCTACCAAGCTTAAAATATACCATCATTTTCTTTCCAATAAAAAAGCTTGTCAGGCAAGAAATTCACACCTAAAATTAGTATGCATGATAACAAAATTGTGTTTTTCCTTGGTTGTTTTCGTGCTATTTTTGTTGTTCTCTGATTTCGCTTCGCCTCGTGTATCAGTTACGATAACCATTTTCATCCGACTTCACTTCCCGATCCAGAGACGGATTTTTCGCTTGTTGTTTCACGCTGCCGAGATATTTTCTCGGCGACGTGAAAGATCAGGCCAAAAATCCGTCAGCGGTGTGTTTGCAGGCTACACGCGTACAGCTCTTCGCTGCGAGCTTGAAAACGTTTCCCGGGTTAGAAAACAATGAAGTTTTGATTGACGTCATTCTTAGCAATGGCTTGATTGACACATGATTCGCACTGTTGGTATGTTGCCCCGGCACCGCTGTGTCCTCAAAGAAAAGTGCCGGCTTTTTATCCCCCCCCCCCCCCCTGAGTGAAAACAAATCCAAGGGAAACGACTTTTGGTTCGTGGTATTGGGTTTTTTGAGAAATCGGAGGGTTCGGGAAATCGGGATTGCACTGTCTATTTATATATTTGTGTCTTTGCAAAACGTAAGAGTCGCGTGACATAAGACTCGATATAAGGACTGCTGACCAGTTACCACAGAAAGTGTCAAATAACTCCTGCCCAGATAACATGGCAAAGCCCATCCCCATTTTTCACAGGGAAGAGCTAACAACTGCATTCAATGAATGTCATTAACATCAATTACATTTCTGAGCTGGCTCATGGGAGCCTTTGATTCCTTTCGTTTACGGCCCCATTTTCGGTTCGCCATGTGTCTCCATCTTTTACTCTAGTTCGTCTTGCTAGCTTATATTACTTGGCACTTGCTCGTTTTCCTTCATACTTTTTGCTTGTTTTGCATATGCTGTGTATTTTGTTTGAGCGAGCCCAAAAATGTTTTTCCGCTCTGGTCATGAGTTTAATTGGCGTTATTGTTTTCCTCGTGACGACTTGTTGTTTTTGCATATGCTGTGTTTTGAGCGGGCCCAAAAGCCTGTCCCTTGTCACACAAGTTTATTTGAGTCATTTAAAATCAAACTGATTATAGACATGCTCTATAACAAGTGACCAAGTAAACTGTAAAACACTTCAATTCAGTCCAGTTATTCATTACAACAGTCCGTTACTTCTCAAGAAATACTGAACTATCAACTCTCTTCTCAACTCTGCATGTCATATGTCATGGTTTTGGTCTTCCTCTTCCATAACAGAACACATCGCTGTTCGTGTGAGGGTTGCCCCCAAACTTGCACGGCTGTCTGCTGCTGTTTCTGCGCATACGTTCTGCGCGAAGCGCGCGCGGGCCATAAATCGAAGGGAAAAAAACGAGGATCCGTAACTTACAGTACGGAACGAGAAGACGAGGTCAGTAAGATATTTATTATATCTCTTCCTTTGGAAAAAGGAAAACATTTCAAGTCAACCGCGAGGAAAGGGGTTTCATTTGACTGACACGCATCACAGGCAAAGAGTCGATTGTTCGAGTTCGACGAGTTGTAAACACGATTTGTATTCAAACTTCAAACGTCTTCAAAACAATTTCTACCTAGTTATTTTCTGTAAAAGCAAGAAAACTAGGTACAGTTCGAGTTCACTTTTAAACTACTTCTTGAAGTTCGTTAAACAGACAAGGACAATAAATTTTGATTCACCGATTGAGAAGAAAGCACCGCAATCAACTTACAGCGTGTTCGTCAAACTGAGTGAAAATACGAGTGTTTCTTACAAATACTGGACGAGAGAAACACTAGAATTGTAACGAAACTATGGGACAAAAGTCTTCTCAGACACTGCCGTCCATTTTGTGGCGCTTTGTTGTGTAGTCCTGAAAAGTGTTCGCTGCAGAAGTCGCATCGCATAATAACTTGGTGAAAAATTTGCCGAGAAAGCTTGTCAAAAACATCAACAGGTAAGACTTACGTTTTCCACGTTAAATGTTTCCATTCGTCTGCTCTTAACAGACCTTTTCAAACCTTTTCCATTCAGAATTCGTCCTTCTTCACAGTCAGTTTTGCGGGACTTTTCGGCAAGAGATAAAACTGTCAAGTTCCTGAATCGAGTCCGGCCGGCTCGCACATCTTGGACGTTTTCGGCTTCTAAAAGTTCCCGACTGATAAATCGCGTTTGAAGTTTGGAAGATCCTCTTCGCTTCGCTCTAAAGCTCTTTCATCCAGATTGCAAAATCGTCTTCTTGAGACATTATTATGCAGAATTTGAAATTAATCGAAAGTAACTTGCAAAGATGGCGTCATGATCAGTAGCACTCTCAAATTTCGCGGGCCGTACCGTAGAATACGGCCCGTAAAATTGACCAATCACAGCGCGCGTACTATATAAGAGATATTAATAATATCAAAGGTAATCAAAGGAAGTCATACGTTGCTCCCTTAAAAAGTTGGAAACGACTTAAATATGACTTTTTGCCAGGATTGTAGTTGTCATGGTAATTGGTTGCGTCATAAGGTCATAGCCAATTGACTTCATAGAGTAAACTGCATGTACCCGTCGTAAAAACGTGAGTAATCATAGCAAAACAACATCGCGCACGAGCTAGGAATTTTAGAGTTATGCTAAAGGAGGTCACAGTTTGCTCCCTTGAAAAAGTCGGATATAAACTTGAATATTAAAAAAAGCTGATAACTGTTAAGAATATTTATTGCATTGTGATGGTACCAAACACGATTATAATAAACAAACGTCGTAAGCTAATTTCTTTTCTATATGGTCAGTAAGCAAGTAAACCAAAAGATCAAACCTGTTTGAGAATAACAAGTACGTTATCCTGAGTGGACCACGTTTGAATCGTGACGATCCGAAACAGTTGAACGTGAGGTGAATAACTTTGAAGGTGCTAGGTGGCGAAGTTTAGGCGATCCTTTTCTAAGGTTTCCTATTGGACGAAAACTTCGCTTTCCTTCGCTGAAAAATGCACGATAACCGAAGCTCTCCTGTTTAATTTTTACTGCCTGCTGAATTTAAGGGAATAATAAACAATACATGCACGTACAGCTGTAGGCCATTCCGCAATATTGCTACTTTTTACCCTTTGAACTAGTGTCAATCGACTTCTTACATCTGGAGAAAGGTTTTGGCGGTTACGATCGGTTACGAGTACATTTTTGTTATCATTGACCATTTTCCCAGATTCTCACAGGCATACCCAACAAAGAATAAATCAAGCTTAAGCACAACAGCCACTGAGCGCCTCTACATGTATAACGACTTGTACTACGATTTGGTTTCCCAGAGAAGATTCTTCATGATCAAAAACGAGAATTTGAGAACAAACTTTCACAAACAGCAAAATCTGAATGGAACCACTTGTCTTCGGACCACACCGTATTCAACAAGAACTTGCTCTTCATACTGGAACTGTCCCAGAGAGCAACTGTAATAAATGGAAGGATTCGTTGAACAGAGTCGTTCATACTTATAACTCCCTTTTACTTATTGTTTGGGCGATCACCACGCCCAATGTTTTGACCTAATGCTTGGACTTGCACGTGATGTAGCTAATTTTACTCATATGGAGTATAAATATCTCCAAGCTGATGGCAAGAGACAGTATGACCGTAAGGTACAATCGTCAAGATTACAGCCTCTCGACAGAATGTTAGCCAGACATTTATCTGAGCAGGATGGAGCAGGGAAACTCCAGTAATATCGAGAGTAGCAAATACATTATAGTTATAGTTGAGCAGAAGTGAGACCTACTCGTATACAAAGTAAGCCCAGTGGAACTGCGGAAGTGATTCCGCTCACTCGCGCTTCGCGCTCGATTTCCGCTCTCTCGGAGAGTACTACATAAAAATATTTTCCAGTTACTGCCGTGCGACTTCCTCCTAGCTGACCGTCTGACGGTAAAATATTTATAAATAAATAAAGAAAAGAAGAAAGAAAGAAAGAAATAGGACATTATATCTAACTGTGTCTTAGGTCTGATCACCCTGCAAGGAGTACTCAGAATCCAGGAGAACATGTTTTTATAGGGGGAGTTTGTAAGGAGACAATTTACTTAGCCCACCCCCAAGTTTTGGTAATCAAGTGACCGGATTGCATGATCGGACCACGAGGAAAGGAAGTGGAAAATATCAGTAGAAGATTGAACAAGACATAAGTACTTTCGTTTATTTGTCTTCCAAGAACAAGCGTTAAAGGTACTCGCTAAATTTTGTTTAGGATTGATAAAGCGCATGGGGACAAAGTTTACCTAATTGATAACATGGACGCGTGGGTTTCACCTAAAAGACCTTCGACCGACACAGCGGCAAAACGAGTACGGCGTGGAAATGGCGGCAATTTAAAATTATTATATTAAATTTTCATTTCATTTGGACGGGTTAAGGCCGTAACTTAATTAACAGCTCATGATCAGCTAAGGTGATGGCCGGCATAGAAACTGTTATCGTATATACTATTTCCATATAAATGTTGTCGTGCCAATTCTCTTGCGCGCGCGGAAATCGTTCGCGCCAGACGAGCATACGCAATCATTTGCCTCTTTCCTTTCAATCGAGTAATGGAAAGGTTGAAGGTGTCCAAAAATTAGAGGCGAACCAGCGATCAAAGTAATCGTGAAATGTTGT